CTGAGTGAAGCTGACCCCCCACCCACAGAGGAAGAAAAAAAGGCAGTAATTATTAATAAGGTAACCATGCTGTGGCTTCACCTGTCGCATTTTCTTTTAAAGAAAKAAAAAGTAGCTTGCAAAGCTGTCGCATCGGTGCTACGTGACTAAAAGCAGAGTTTTCATTGTGCGTCTAATCACACACAAACGTCTTCCTATCTTTGTGAGGACCACACACAGAGCTCAGCCTCGCTCTGCGCCGTCTTTTCCCCCCAAGTTTGCCGAGAGGTGGATATGGAGGATTGCAAAAAATAGCTCTCGACTTGATCTGGCCTTATTYAAATAAAAATRACTACATGCCGTGAAATCCTTAGAGGGGCGCCAGTATAATGGTAGGGGAAACACWGATTGTGTCAGRCAGACAGATATGAATACTAAGAAATTCTATAAAAACTTGTGACATTGAATAAAGTGATAAAAAAATTCTACAAAAACTTAACTGTGCAATAAACAAATACTGTAGAAATAATTTTGGGAATCCTAACTTACCTAAAACAGGGAAGGTTTAGTCTGATTTAAAGTCAGACAGTAACAAAAAATGTTTGTATATTTTTATGTAGATACAGTATGTCTTTTTACATTAGATGTATGTTAACATCTAGTTTTAACTGTATGTAAAGTTGCTCTGCAATCCTAGCTGTGCATTCTCAATTTAACACCAATTTACCATTTCTGTGATGTAACAGTCATGATAAAGTAGCACATTGCTTAAGACAACATCTACTATATACATACTATGACTGAAGGTGGTAACTTTTTGTTTAACTGAGCCCAAATTTCAGTTGTCCTTACACTGTAACATAGGAGAACTGCCCACAGAACTGTTGCTGGATGACATTTTGCAGGTTGGGGTTCTTCTGCTTGGATAACGTGTCCTCCAACAGAGACAAGAAAAGCTTTGAAAACTCCTGGGCATCCTGAGAAAGAAAAGATCTTGTGAATACACTAGATTTACTTTAGAATATCAAGCAGTATGGCAGCTAAAAGTTTAGGAAATTTAAAACTATTTCTGTGAGGAAAATATTTGTAAATTTAGTTAAAAATTATAAAAATAAAAATCTTAATAATAAAAACAAGAAAACAATAGATTTAATATTGAATTCATCACACAAATATTTGTTATCAATTAATATAAAACAAAACTCAACAATGAATGTGCCAAACTGTAAAACCAGTTCTGAATTTTTGAGCAAAAATTTTAATCATTACTGCTGGTTTGTGTCTGATTTACCTGTTGCTGTCCAGTATCCAGGCCCAGTGCTTTGACTAGTCCTGAAGGGTCGATGTACTTTCTGTTGCTGTTCTGCATGAGTGCAAAGAGGTACTGCAAATGCTCACAAATGGACTGGGGCTCGTAATCTGACAGAGACAAAGATGTTCTTTTGAGAGAAAGACATTACATGAAAAGAACACTTCAGATTTTTTTAAAGTGAAACTGTTAACATCAACATTTTAGTTGCAGTAGATATTGATTAGAGTAATCAATTCAGAATATCAGACAGAAACTTTWTGAGAGTGGACGAGTTAAGGTCTCTGCATGCTCCATCCGAACTGCCGAAATCGGCTCWCATTATCGCAGTTGCATGATGAAAATCACGTCCTTGTGTTTGCCGTTTCGAATCTGCCGTCTCTTCTTGTCTCTTCCTGCCAGGAGAAACTTTTACCCCACTTGACATAAGAACTTCATGTGGGATCGATCRGTCAGAGGTTCATGGCTGTGTTTATGCTGAAAGCACTCAGTCTTGCATTATGATGTTCCAAACCAGGTGCCTGCAACCTTTACAATCAAAAGAGCCATTTGTGCTCCTTTTCTCACTAATAAAATGTGTCCAGAGCCATAAAACAATTTACAACTGTGACTATCAACTGGTGGTCCGTGGGCCTTTTCAGGAAACTTTACGGTCAGTGGAGGTGACATTTTAAAACTTAAAAAAAATGATTACTATTATATTATTTATGATTATACACATCAGGAC